AAAAAGGGTTTTACTTGTGAGCTAGATTTTGGTTTACATTTCAATGCTCATTTGAATATTTCTCACCTATGTATATTTTTGAGAGTTTGTAATCACATTTTTTATGTTTAGAGTTGATATTGTTTAGTTGAAGTTGAAGATCATTTTAATTATATTTAAAATAACTTTAAAAGGATCTGGTGTGGAGGAGGTTCAAAAATGTGTCATGCTTGTAGCAAGCAGCTTCAAGTTCAAACCAAATGAGGGAAGATAATGAATTTCAGATTTCAGACATCCTCATATCGACCTTTGTATAATCTGTTAGAATCAGAATCGTGTGATCTTTAGAGCGTGAGCCTTTTGATACGAGCCAATTTTTTGATTTGGAATTTTACTTTTTCCCTCTATTTCCCCAGCCGTGCACTCTTACAGAAGCGACAGTTCTTTCACTCTCATAGAGCTCAGGTAAGAATTTGTTTTGCTTTGTTTTGTACATGGCACTCTTTTAATTTTCATGCCTGAATGTATTTTTTTGATGAAATAAAATAATCAAACTCAGAACTCCGAAAATGTTTCTTTTTTAGAGTTCTCGCAATTCAACACTATACAGTTATGGACAAATATAAAGTTTTTGGATTCAGAAAAGCTTGATCCCCATTATGTGGTTTACCATTTAGCACTATTTAACATTTGGAGATTACGATCTAGAACTACCCTCCATGCTAGGTTCGGGTAGTTATCAAATACTGCAAGTACCATTGATCGTGTAATCTCGGTAGTGGATCCCACTAAAACCCCCATGTCGAATTATTTATCATCGCCTTGTTGATGGAGAAGTTTAAGAAATGCCGCCTTTATGCCGGACATCTCGCCATCTCATTGTCAGATTTCAAGTTCATCTTCCACTTTCAGCTACATCTTTTGAAAGAATTTTAAATATGGAATTGTTCTTTTCTCACCTTTCATTGCTAACATGAAATGAACAATTTGGGACTTCAACGATCTTAAAGTGCTTCCTTTTTTGGTAGTGACACTTTTTGATGAGACATTAAAAATGTAAAGCCTGTCAAATGATATAATACAAATGTGCTACTTTGCAGGAACACATTGATCATCTAAAAGATAATGAAATAAATCCTTGCGTTTTCGGCTGTACCGAATGTTATTTTTTGCTTCTGTGGAACTATGTTCAGATTATGAGTTTGTTGACTGTGCTTTAGAATTTTCAAATCTATTTATATGATATCTACTTTACCTTTTTCTAGTTCTCTGCGTTCCTCTTCATAATTTGCTTGTGGTCCTTGACACTTGAATAACAATTGGAAGAATGAACAGTTCAAGTAATTCATATAATGTTATTACTTGTGATCGTCCATTCTCAGTACTCTTAGTGGTGTCAAATTGTTTAACATTATTTTGTAGAGAGCTCGGGGATGTCTAATGCCTTGCATCACTATATTGTATACATGGGGTCCAATTTTCTAAAGGATATTTTAGAAATATATCTTCTTTCTGGTCTTGTTCTCTTTGATGTCAGTTCATACACACATGACTAATGAGTCTAGTATTCATGCTTTCCTACGCACGCTACATACATGT